ATTGTATATTTTGCCCCAGAAAGAATAGCAATACTAATGACCACAACAACATTAACTGATGTTTCTTGGTTACTTGTGATACCTCACCTACCTTGCAAATCTCAAAAAAAAAAAAAAAAAAAAGAATGAAGGAGAGTATTGTATATTTTGCCCCAGAAAGAATAGCAATACTAATGACCACAACAACATTAACTGATGTTTCTTGGTTACTTGTGATACCTCACCTACCTTGTGAATCTCCTTCTGGGCCTCTGGGTGCCTGGTGGCAGGGCAGGTGGGGGCCTGCTAAGGATTGGTGTGCCCTAAGCAGAATGTCGGCTCAGTGCAGAGGCCACTTCCAACTTTTCTTGCCTTTTAATAGCCAAAAGTGATGTATCTCAACATTGGCCTGAGTTTGCCTTTCAATTCCAAATTTCAGACCACCTACCATATAGAGGAAGGCTGTTTTTACCAACAGACTGTTTCATCTTCTGGGAACATCCTAACAAACTAACATGTTCATAACATAGTAGAAAAATGAACATTCCCAATCAAAGATCTCCCATTTAATACAGTCTTTCCATAAGTTGTGCATATCCGAGAGCAGGAGCCCAGATCTAGGAAAGAAGCCCATCTGGCTGATCCCCACTGATGAAGAAACCCTGAAATGTCCCTGTCTCTTGAACTGAGTGGACTAGGTCTTTTCTAGTTTATGGCCCTGGAATGTCTTTCTGTTTAGTGTCTCTTATTTTTACTGTCTGTGACTGAAACCCAGAAACATAGAAATTTGCCCATTGATATTCCAATTCAGTATAAAGAAGTCTTCGTACAAGAAAAAAAAAGAATCTATAATTTGTCCTCCTTGGGCAACTTTGTACTTTGTTCCCTTCTGGCAAATGTTTTCCATCTTTGTCTTCTGCACTTTCGTGGTCTCGTCAAAATGGTTCAGAGACACTTGAAACCCCCGTGGAACACGGTTCTTTCTGACTCACATGTGGCGTGGGGACTAGATGTGTATGTTGCAAGAACATTTGACATCACCTTTGTATCTGAAGAGGTTTACGTTGCAGTTGGGATTCGTGGGCACAGATGCCTCTGAAAAGATCCCCTTGCACACGTGTGAATGGACAGACTGCATCCATCGCCTCCTCTTCTGAATGGTTCGAGCACTCTGCAAAAGGTAGGGCCTTGAGCTACTCCACTTTGCTCAAGACTCAAATGAATGATCCAAATTTAACATTTTAGGGTTGTAGCTATCATTGCAGTTGCTGGATTCTTGCTTTGGTGTTATTTGATTTGCTAGAAATAGTTGTATCCCAAACACAGT